CACATGCTGGGACAGACTTGTCTTTTGAGTGAAGCCCGGTATTGTCCTGCAACTTAAAACACCCAAAGGAATGCGTCAGCCTCTGAGAGGGAAATGAAGCCTTCACAAACGATGGCTGTGCTGGTCGGCAAGGACTGTCGAAAGCAAGGATTGTCTTCCCGTGTACCAGATTGGCATCTGAAAGATGGGCGAAGGATGCGTCTTGACGTTCTGCTGTGCAGTTTTGCCCTAGGTTACAGCCACTCAAAGAGACTTAGAATCATAAGGGCCATTTGCACGCGCTGACGGGAGCCGCCCGCCTGTGTCTAGACAGCCAGGAGCCTTCCGGCCTCTGTCATCTCCTGGCTGTGGGGACTGTGGCTTTGTGTCCTCTGAAAGTTTAAAATGAACCGTTGATTTGGCTTGCCTCTGTCTTGGTTATTCGAGATGGGTGAGAGTTCAGGATGGCAGAGCATGGAGCTGTCTGCCTCACCACGGGACCTGTCCATCAGGAACTCCCTGACCGCTCCATGTCATAGGAGAGCCTGGAGGACCCAAGTAGAGCCTGGGCACCATACCCTCCTAGTACACATAGAGCTTTGTGGTTTAACTTCTGGTTGTTTAGATTGTGAAACAGTGGTTGTCACTCTGTACTTGAGAAAAGAAAAGGGAAACATGTTTTAATCATGTAACAGCCAGGTGCTCTCACTTGGGGCCCATTGGTGGCTCTAATTATACCCCATCAAATGAACTTGGCCTTATAACGTGGAAGTAGTTTAGGGGGGCAACTGTCATTGACATGGGCCCAAAAGGTATACTGGGACTTGTTGAAAACTGGGGCTTTGCAGGAGAATCCTGGACCAGGCGTACATTTCGGTCCTGAGGTGGAAGGAGCCACATCATGTCTTCCTCCAGCCTCTGTCTGTAGCTGCTAAGAAGGAGATCGCTCTTGGTTTTAAGGCTGTTTTGTAATTCAGTCCGCTTCTGGCCTCACTGTACCATGACCTTGCCCTGGAAAGTGCTCACTGTACACATTTCACATTCTAGAATTCCCAGGCCAGGTGACACTCAAAACACAAATGCTTGTATTTATGAGACCTTTGAGTAACAGTCCTATGTGGGCCAGGATGTGGCCACAGGGGTGTCTCTGAATGGCCAGTCACATACTGGTTGTCAGGCTGGAGCCTTGTCTGGGGCTCTGTGCTCTGCAGACCTGTTCTGTCCAAGGAAGTTGCGCCGTGTGGTGGACTGACTCTCAGTGTGTTGTCTGCAGCTCGCAGCCTGCAATCCAGTGTTGACTCAGCCTGTCTCCCAGCACTCCTGGGCTGTGTTATCTCACAAGTCCATCCACATTTGCTTCCAGGCTCTAAGAAACCAGTATCCGGTGCAGCCAGGACTCTTGCCTAGAAGTCTCAAACAGATAACCCTCCTGTAGCTGTCCTGCTCAGAACAAACTGATCTGTGTTCTGTGCAAAACTTTCCGAGCTGTTGCCAATATGTTCAACGAAGGAGCTTTCTGAGGCAAGTCTGGTACTGCTTCTTGTACTGGGGAGACATCTAGACGGGACAGGATTGCCTACCCCCTGGGATCTCGGCCGCATTCCCACAGTAGTAGCACGCGATGGGCTGTGTCCTAGCCGCAGACTCAGCAAGTCTGACCGTCTAGCTCCTTCAGCCCTGTCCACCTGTTCCTGAGTTGGCTTGTAGGTTGAGAGTCACGCCCGCCGAGCTCGTTGTTTTCCTCCTGCCTGGGAAATGTTCATAGGTGGATGCTTCCTGCCTGCTCTGAGGGTGCTCCACGGAGCCCCGTCCTCTGCAGCCAGCTGCAGTATAGATTCTAGTGTCTTTGCATTTTCTGCAGCTGAGAGTGGTGGCCATGCTTTTTCTCACTCTGAACACATGATAGGGGTTTTTTTTTTTTGGGGGGGGGGTGTTTTGTTTGTTTATTTTTTTTGTTCTTGTTTTGTTTTTAAGACAATCTCACTGTTTAGCTCTGATTGTCATAGAACTCACTATGTAAACCAGTCTGGCCTCGAACTCATAGACATCTGGCTGCCTCTCCCACCCTGGTGTTGAGATTAAAGGCCTGTGCTACAGTGCCCAGCTTGAATACACTGTATTCTGTAGAAATTTGAGAGCTGGATGGGTTCCCCAGGGCAACCCGAAAAGGAAGCCCCACCCAGTCCTGTCCCTTGGCTAAGCTGGAATTTCTTGGTAGCTGAAGAACATCTCTGTAGACTGTGGAGTGCTGTGAAATGAGTGCCTGGCCTGCAGTATGTCATCTGACATTGCTCTGGAGGGAACCCCAGTCACAGGTGCCCACTGAGAATGCTAGGTGCCAGCCCTTAGATTTGTGCTTCAGAAAGGGGGAACCAGCGGTCCCAGGCGGTGGCTGAGACACTCAGGAGTTTGTGCTGTGAGAGCAGGTTGTTCACTGTAGCTGGGAACTGCAACATTCACGGCCCAGGGTACAGGCAGGTATAGGAGGCCTGCGCCTCGCTGTAGTACCGCATGTCTCTGCCTGTGTGGCCAGTCTCGTCTACAAGGGAGTCTTGTGTTCCTGGTTCTGCTACCTCTGGCCTGTGATTGGTGGGGAGCAAGAGAGTCAGTGCTCAGGGAGGCCAGGTGCTGGGCCGGTGCTTCGGCCACAGAAGGAGGTCTTCAAGGATGTGTGAACAGGAAGATGAGGGGCTCAGCCCCTCTTACAGCCTTGAAGGGCGGAGGTCAAGACAGGCATGGTGAAAGAGGTGGTTCTTGGGCAGGTCACTGCTCTTCAGGCCCACCTACTCTCACAGTGTTGAGCTAATCCAATGAGTAAGCCAACAGTGTCCTCCAAGGAGCAGTAGGACTTATTCATGATTGTCAACATTCATGTTTTCCTTCCTGGTAATATTATTTTCATAGCATCAAAATAGATTAGCCTGGAACCAGCAAGATGGCTGAGCACCTAAAGACCTAGCTGCCAAGGCTGCTGACCCAAGTTCAATCCCCGGGTCCCACATGGTGAAAGGAGAGGACTGATTCTTGCAAATTGTCCTCTGATCCTTCAGACGCATGGACAAGCTCACACACACAACATACATGTCCTCTCACCCTTCACACACACACACACACACACACACACACACACACACACTGGCATAATAAATATATACATAAAAAGTCTTTTTCAAAAATGGACCCTTTTTTTCCACTCCCCAGATAATTGTGAGGGCCTCTCCACGTGCCTCCAGTCTGACCAGTTTCTCTTCTTTTCCTCTGTAGCCTCCACTGGTGGAAGGATAATTAGGAGTGTAGGGCTGGCTCATGAAAGTGCCCACGAGCCTCCCAGAGGAGTCGCGTTAGCCATCTGCGGGCGCTCGCCTGAGCAGGAAGGGACATGGCCTTCTGAAGCCCGCAGCATCCCTAATCTTCTAGTGGCATGGCAGTGACCCTCAGCCCTCTGTATTGTTGAAATTCCATCTGAAGTGGATGATGGGAAAATGTGAGCCCGCTGGAGAACTTGGGTGCGGCTTTGTGTTGCTGGGTTAAGAATGGAGCTGTCCATGGGGAGGGGACGTGAGGGCTTGAAGGCTGTTGGTTTATTATTGTGTCCGTGGGGTGACTCACGGTTGCCTGGTTATTTGTTCCTCTCAGGTGAGCTTCTCTTGCTTTGGTGTGCAGCATAAATGTTTTCCTGTGTCAGTTTTTGCCACATGCTTTCTTTACATGATAAAATCTTACAGAGCAGTGGCCTTCCAAAGGTTCCTTTGTGGGTTGTTTGGATTTCCCAGTATCAGGTACTAATGGACCAGATCCCCTCGCTGGGATTTGAAGCTTGTTTATAATCTGAGTAAACACCGCTATATTCTCACAGTGTTGATTGACATGTGAGCTCCTTCCTGTCACTTGTACAGGCTGGCCCGATTTTCTCCCACACGGAGGGAGATCCCTGGAGAAGAGCAGGATCGGGAAGGCAGGGGTGGGAGGTTGCCTCCACGTCCCCAAGGGGTCACGATGTATTGGAGAACTGTAACTTCGTGCTTCCTCAGTCTGGCTGGGTTAGCTAGTGTTAGGTGCGTGCCTTCTCGGCCATTCTTATAATCCGGGCAGTTTCTTGATGGACCGACTGAAGGTTTCCTCACTGCACATGGACAGAATTAGAATGCACAGGAGTGGGCACAGCTGGCAGAAAAGCTGCAGCTTGAGAAGCATGGGGGTCCCAAGGCTGGAGCGTTGGCCTGACCCCACTCAGGATTGCCCATCCATTGTCCTCACCTAGGAAAGCCAGGGAACAGATGCAAGGGTTGCTGGGACTTGGCACTTAGACCAGGAACACATCCACAGCAGCCATCCAGGGAAGGCGAGGCCACATGTGACTTCCAAAATATGTTAGTTTGCAATTCTGAAAGCTTTCCCAGAGACACTAATGGGACACCATTAAAAATCGATTGAGGTGAATTACAGCTCACCCACCCAATGTTGTTACTGAAGTTTGCAAATGGAATTTCAGTTTGAATAAATTAAAATCCTGTGAAGAAATTATAACAGGAAATCGTAGTGTTTGTAAAATTAAGGGGAGAAGATCATTGATCTTGGGGTCTGTCTTAAATATGTTACTACTGGGGCCGGGGCCGGGGTTGGGCTGGGGTTCATTGGTTGGGTACTTTCCTCGAATGTACATTGGTTTTAATTTCCGGTGCCACAGAAACCAACAAGTAAAAAATAAAAGTGTCTTTCCACTAGACATCTCCCACTTGCTATGACTCAGTTCTGTGGGGAGTTTGATGGACAGCCAGGATGTCCACCTCAACTGTTCATCAACGGTGGATCTTCAGAGTCCATAGCAAAGTTCAGCTCTCAAATCACCTATTACGTTGAATACCCAAGATCAGAAAAACCTAAATTAAATCTAAACAGAAGGATAATCTCCTCTAAAAATGCAAACCCCAAAGAAAGTTTCTAGTGTCCGCGTCCCTTTGTGTCTGCTAGCCCTTTCTGCACTCCACAGGACCTTACCTCTGGCTCCTCTTCCCCCACAGGGCATGCTGCTGAAGCGAAGTGGCAAGTCGCTAAACAAAGAGTGGAAAAAGAAGTACGTCACCCTGTGCGACAATGGCGTGCTGACCTACCACCCCAGTTTACATGTGAGTACAGCTCCACGGAGCAGTTAGCAGTACCCAGTTAGCAGGACAGAGCATGGGGCCAGGGCCCGCCCTCTGCCTCCGTGTGAAGAGGACAGTGGTATTAGGTCCCCTGAGGTGTCTATAATGCATTAAGTACCTCAGGCTCCTTTAGCCCAGGTGTCTTGCTCTCCTGCCCCCTTCACCCGTTAATCTAGGACTCCCCATTCTGTAGTGGATTACAGTGCCAGGTACATAGGAAGTCGAGTTTTAAATGGGAGTGGCAAGGTGGGGTAAGCCGTGAGAAGCCATGAGAGTGTCTGAAGACCTAAGCTACAACAGCGGAATTGACCCCAGGGCCCAGCTCTGAGCAGCTAAGAGCAAAACCAGGCCTAGATGTCATTCGCCACGGTTTTCATGCTGAGGTAAAGCACAGACATCAGCTCAGAAACCGGGAAAACTGCTTCTCCACAGGATGTCACCTTCCCTTTGTGATTTCCATAAGATTGTGAAAGCAGACTCAGTGTTATCCTGACAGGAATCTGGTCATTCTGTCCACAGTGAGCGCCTTTAAGGTGGACTGTCCACTTCGGTTCCATGAACTCCTGCAGAGGTTGAGAATTAAAACCTACACCATTAATCATTGGGTTTCACCACTCTCACCAAACTGTTACCTTTTTAAAAACTGAAATACTTTGAAATTGCAGTTGTTAACAAAACGTTTAAAATACACATACTGAGCAGAAATTGAAAGCACTCCATGTCATTGTGAATTCTGGGAGTGTGGATGCCTGTGTCTGCGTGCATGTGGGCTTGGTGCTTCCACAGACACAGCACATCTCACAGCATGCTCACCTCACTAATGATAGGTCCCATGCATTTCTCCATGACTGCAAATGCATGGTACCGTTTTGATGTTTATATAGTATTCCACTATCCCACTGCATGAGTGCTTCAGCAGTATCTCAGAACAAAACAAAAATAAGACAATAAATTTGACACCCCCTCTCCATTATTGTAAGTAACTCTGAACGGGCTTTCTCCTGTTATCTGTGTCTTTGTCTGTTTCCCTAAGACAGACTCCCAGTCATCACTTTTCAGAGCTGTAAGGTCTACATGACATTTCTGGCCTCAGCATACATTGTCAGAATCCTAGGACCCATATGAACATTTGTCTCCGTAAAGAACCTTTGGTGAGGGGCCTTCCCCTGCAACACTCAAGAACATTCACCTTTTAAAAAAACATTTTCCCTTGGTGACACATAGTGTCCTCCTGTGGATTATTGCTGGTGTGACTCCCTTCTCCCCTTGGCCTAGGGCAGTAGCTGTACCTTTCAGAACCACGCTAGAAAGCACCTGCTTCACTCCAGATCCCTGGCTTCCTTGTAGCGCTAATGAGAGTGCCTGCCACGCCTGGCTGTCAGTCTGCAGGCAGCATCTGATTTACAGCGGTCCCATGCCAGATGTTTGGCCGGACAGCAGGGTGAAAGCATTCCCACACAGCCATCCTGTCACACCCCCTACCATAGTCAGCAGAGTGATGAAGGTAGTCAACATGTGACCGTGAAACAGACCCTGTCTTAGATGAATTTGCCTAAGCACAGGCTGGTACAAGCAGGTCCTGCACAGGACTGAGGTGGGTTAGACTAAGATGGACGTTCCATAGAGTGAAGAATTGAGTGAGTGCCCCACTTGTGGTGTTTTCAGTGTGACAATGGATATACTGGTATGTAGCCTCATCCTAAGAGATATGTGTGTGTGTACACATCTGTGTTTACAAGGTACATATGACAGATGTCTTCGTAGGTTCTTGTATATTCTAAAGGTATAGCTATATTCATGTCTAGAGAGATGTTCTTTGTTAGATGAAACACTGTGTGACTCTATGTCTAGCTTACCTTGGGTATAGATAGATTTGGTTCTCCAGATGGCCTTGATGGCAGAAGGATAGAATGCCTGTTTCTGAAGAACCACCTGGGACAGGGCCCATGCCTTTTCCAGAACTACTCTGCTGAATGCCTGTTTCTGGAGACCCACCTGGGACAGGGCCCATGCCTTTTCCAGAACTGCCCTGCTGAATGCCTGTTTCTGGAAACCCACCTGGGAGGGGGCCCATGCCTTTTCCAGAACTGCCCTGCTGGGGGCTTTGTGCTTCTTCAGCCCTTTCACTCTGAGATTCCATCACCAAGCACATACAGCAGGGCCTTTCCAGGCCCTCCCCATCCCTAGAGCAACCCAATCTACAAGGAAGGCTGCCCTGCCTTGGGTCTTCCCCAAGTCCTGTCAGAAACCAAAGGCCTCATTATCAGCTCTGGTGCATCATGTGCCTTAGAAAACAGAGCTGGGACTTGGTGACCAGTAGTAAGTCAGATCTGGCTGGTGGCTCACCTTCTTTCTGCCCTGTGTTTAACCAAGCCTATACCATATTCCCTCTGTCCTCATGGAATATATGGAAGAGAACTACTCAGTTTCCTGTTGGGGATCCCCGTGTCTCCAGAAGAACATTCCTGTCCAGTGATCTATTAGCCATCACCCTGCCCTTCCCTTCTGCTACCTTTCCTGGTTTCCCCCAAGGCTTGGGAGCTGAACTGGCCCTGGTCCTCTTTGCTTTGTTAGTGGAGAGTAGAAGGCAGGGGCACAGGAGAAGGAAATGATGGGGAACTTCTCCAAAACAGTGGTTTCCAGACTGGTGCGTACCATAGTTGCAGGGCCCCTACGGGGCTCCAGATGCTGAAGCTGGAGGCCAGCTTGGGGAAGTGCCCCCTTACTTACCACATGTTCAGCAGTAGGTCAGCAGTAGGCGTGATCTGCATGGACTGTCTAGAAGGTGGCAGATGCGTCCTGGTATCTCAACCCTACACTGGTGGCGATTGCCCTCCATTGTATCCTTGAGTCTGGCTGGCAGCTGTCTTTTCTGGAAACCCAGAGCATCACTCGCTGGGTAAAGTTTGGTGATATTGCCCTCAGGGTGGCTTCTAACCCTCGGGGTGTGGGACCCAGAAATTCCACCAAACTGAGCTAATGGAGTCAGATAGCCAAGGAAAAGCCCTCCCCAAAGATGACAGCTGCCGAGGGGAATCACTTAGTTACACACTCGGCCTAAAACTGGAGTCCCCCCAAACCCACTCCATTCCTTCCTCTTTCTTTCTCAGCTGATGCTCAGTGAATAAAATTGAGAACCCAGGCTAGTAACAGGAAGAACACTCAACCAAAGTCAGAATGAATGCTTTTCCAGGGAACATGGTGCCCTGGAAGTTACAGGGGTCATGGGCAGTCTGCTGCCCTACTCCAAGATGGACCAGCCGAATCTGCTGCTGGAGATTGTGTCCTGACAGCTCCAGACATTTAAACTAAAGCAACCAAGAGAGAGCCTGATGGCACCATGGGATGTTCACTCTGAAGCCTGCTGGTGCCTTAGGCTGTTGACTCAATGGCTTGCTCTTTTGTAGTTTCTGTTTCTAAATAAATAAATAATGATGATGATGATTTCCATCTTGGGGGCAGGAAAATGACTCAGCTCTAAGAGCACTGGCTGTCCTTCCAAAGGACCTTGGCTCACTCAAGTCCCAGCATCCTCAGGATGGCTCACAACCATCTCTAACTCCAGTGTAAGGGATCCGGCACCTTCTGGCTTCCTTGGGTTTGTGGTACACAGACACACATGCAGGCAAAACCCCTATGCACATGAAATAAAATAATTTTAAAAAAATTTAAATCAGTCATCTCTAAGACCCCCAAGACCCAGAGCACTTAGCTGCCCTGAGGAGGAGATATATTTGAAGGTCTCATGGATTTAAGACTCATTGCTGGACCCTGATGGGGTGGGTGCAGGGCAGTGTGTTGTGAGATCCTTAGGTCCCCTCTCTGTGGACTTAGATATGAGCCGTAGGGAGCACCATGATGGAAAAACTGGAGAGGATAATGAGAAAGAACCTTTGCCCTGGGGCTCTGCAGCGCAGCACAGCCACCTATTCATCTTCTGTGTCGGGGAACAGCCACGTGCATGGCTGACGATCCTGCTCTTGGAGTCGGCTCTGTCTGGTGGGCTTCCTAAGTGGGCCTGTAAGAGTGAGCCCCGAGAACCATGGGCATCACGTTATGGGACCCTGGCTGAGAAAGCCTACTGCAGTCAGGCCCAGCTCTGCCCTCCTTGCCAGCCGCCTGGCAGCTGCACCCAGCCCTCCCCTGTGTGTCAGACCAGCCTGGTGTGTATGGATCACTTTCCCCTTCCTCGGATTCCTTTCTCCTCCTTCCTGTACCCTCTTGAAACCAGATTAGCCCTGGTTTTGTTTTTTTTTTCTCCTTGATAAACAAAATTGGAACTGAGCTCGAGCAAGGACATCTTTTACTCTACAGATCCATTAGCAGTTGGGTGGCTGAGGCGCTCTGGTTATAGCAAGGGATGGTTACGTGTACTGTGAACCTTGAGTTCGGTCCTTTTCTGAGTCAGCAGTCAGTGACTCTGGAAGTTGTCATCATAATGCAGATTTTAATAGCTCCAGATTTCACAGGCAGACAGGAAGTAGCTTGACTAACACAGCATCAGAAAAGGATCTGAGATGGTTCCTAACGAGACCTTCTGAAAGACATCTTCCCAGGGAAAGAACCTGTGTTAGCAAGAAACTCCTCTTATAGCACCCCCTACGGGTGGTGCACACTGGCAGTTGGAGGAGACTGACTGGTCATGCCTCCCCACAGCAGCCCACCTCTGCCAGCATGGACCTCCCACTTCCTGAGGTGGAGAGCATGCAGTTACACTCAGCCCTTCGATGGTGGTTCCAGCCATGCAGAAATCGGAAAAGCTCCTGCCTCCACAGCAAGATCCTAGTTGCAAAAGACCTTATTCTTGTTCCCCCATGGAAAGCCATTTGACAGGACATGGCTGGCCTTCCTGTGTCTCTGACATGAGCATAGTCAGTGAGTCACATTGGTGACACACTGCTTCAGTTTGCGTCACTTATTCTATGATTAGTGGTTTTTCATCTTGCTTCTCCATGAGTAAGCACCTCGTGGCTCTGCGCTAT